TCGGAATTCCCCTAATTTCCCTATACACGCAAGCGCAAAAGCCAGGAAATCCAAAGTTTCGAGCTCCGCCAACGAGTGAAGGTTAGAGATTAGACAAAATTGAAGATAAAGTGGNATTTCAGATCTGATATGGTCGATTCTGGCTATGGGAAATCGCATCACGAAGAAATACCCAGTTTGGTAAGCTTTTTGATGGTGAAACGATACGATCGAGCGCATCACCAAAAGCTTTTTCCGATTTTAGCTAATTACTCCATCATCGCCATACTGGTCGAAAAAGAATACGGTAGATGAGCAGACGGGAAATGAATTACGCGGTGTCCTTGTGGATAGTGCGTTAATCAATCAGTGTGATTCCTCCGTCAAAGAGGAACCACCGTCATCACCGTCATCGCAACCGCCGACGACGACAGCGTGACCGCCACCGTCACTACCACCGCCCGCTCGTTCTGAGTTCAGAAATGCATCTCAGTTACTTTTACCGTTTCCCTGTTGATGTTATGGCCAAGTGAACTTCCCTTTTTTGATCTCTCTTGTTCCTTTTCATACTGCACATGCTCAGGTTCTTCGTTTGTTGTACCTCATCGGCATTTTTTTGACATGTTCCTTAGTCAAAGTGAAATATGTCTTCACCTTTCTCAGACGGGTAATTTTTCTAATTTCACATTTATATGTATTGTAACAAATAGGAATATGAAGCTCTTCTCTTCACTTCATTTTATATTATAATGTTAAGGGTATGAATAGTATTCAGCCCAATTACATGGGCGTGTAATTTAACACTTAGACAAGCTATTACAGTAACAGCAATGCTGACACCTGGGTACAAAAGTGGTCTGTCTCTTGAGGAGCCATGGCAGATTCCCTGGGGGTACATCGTGTTAGTAAATACACTGAATAGGATGAAGATGTAAAGGATAAGGGATAAAGTCTCTGGGCGTTGACCAACCCATTTGAGGAGTGCTCCTCCGCATTCATCTTCCATTCAGAATCGTAATGGCGTGATCCATGCGTCTGCGTCCTAGGAGCAGGCTCGCCGATGAGCGAGTCAGTGCTTTTATCCTCCCAGACGTCTGGTAACAATTAGTCGTCCCCAGAGGGATGAAAAGCTCGGTTGGCATAGGCGGATATCGATCGGGGTTTTGTTTCTGTGTCCATGCGTGTGTGACAATTCGCCACTTGCCACTACAGCACTTCTACCTAATGGCCATTTGTACAACTTGGGAATAACCGTGTTCATTTCGTAACGTCGATTTTATCACCATACCATATCTTATAGCTATAAGAAAGCCTTCCGCGATCCACTATATGCGCTACTTCTCTCCATTCCAGCAATTCAATTACGATTACGATTATGCTTGAGATCTCGATATTTTGAGAAAGGGCAGGCGACTTCAACCTGAATTTAATTCAATCTCCAATTTGAACTCAACTCACGGTCTTTCGTGGTTCGAGGTGCACCTCGGAGACTTGGGTTCACGAAAATGGAATAAACATGAAGCCAGCGTCATTGAACGTGGTGCGGAAAAGATGGTGCTCGGAATTCCCCTAATTTCCCTATACACGCAAGCGCAAGTGCCAGGAAATCCGAAGTTTCGAGCTCCGCCAACGAATGAAGGTTAGAGATTAGACAAAATTGAAGATAAAGTGGGTCGGACACGATTTGCGATAGTGCGATGATCGTTGAACCGAGGCCTTTACTGACTGGATCCCACGGGACTTCAGGACAGCAGCCACGACGACAGTCAGTCAGACTTCTTCATGGAAGCTCCGGATGGAATGCTATGTTTCGTTTCCATCAAGCGAAGGCGATCCACTGGACTACTCTGGCTTGCGACATAAAACGAATGAAGACGTTACTGGCGCCCGCTCGATGAAATCGATGATTATCGGGACGACAGTATGCTACTGACACCTTTCTACAAAACCGATCCGCTGAATAAGGGTACGTGACAAGCCCCCTTACAGGCAGACTGGTAAAGTAGCTGTCGAGGATTTTGCCCTGCCATTTGGACGAAATGAGAATGACTGCTTTCTACTTTGAAAATGTGATGGTAGTAAGGGATTCGTGAAATACGTGGTAGAAATTCCCATCGCGGTGCCTCTGGAAGGAAAAATTCATTCTGAAAGATTCTAATGATTGCGAAGATTATCAGAAAAAATTCTACATACTGCTTCTCAAGACCTACCGTAATGAAGTTCGGGTTTTTACGACGATCAAGAAATCCATGTCTACATTATGTTCAAAGGCGTCGTCCTACGGAATTCCCTACCCTGTTCAATGAACTCTCATGGACAGCGCTTCTCAGGTTCTAACTTTCATGCACCAATAAACATCGTATGAAACTTTCATTTCAGGTACGTGGGTGTGATAGAACTGTTATGGGTATGGTTTTAGCAAATAATCGTGCTGATATGAGAACCGAAGTCATAAAGTAAGTGTTACCAGCTGTGGTGAGCATAACTAAAGTCCACGGGAGGGAAAAAGGTAAGGCGCTCAGTGCCCTGTTCATCATTTTTCATATGAAACATCACTACCGCCACACGGGAGCATGTACCACCTGTACCACCTGCCATCCCGTTGATCGTCGATTTCCTCGAGCGGGTGCCAGTAACGTCTCCATTCGTCCCTGTCGCGAGCCAGAGCAGTCCAGTGAATCGTACTCACTCGAGGGACACGGAACAAAATATTCTTTTAGTCCAGAGCTTTCGTGAAGAGGTTTGACCATCGGATCGGCTGTCGTCTTGGTGTTCGCTTGACGTCCATAGGGGTCCATAGAGCAACCGTCCTGGTCCAACGGTCATCACTATATCGTATAACGTGTCTGGCCCACCTGAT